TTTTCCATATCATGAGGTGTTTCATGCTTTCATCACTGTCTTTCAGGGATGCATAGTATTCCACTGTGTGTGTGTCCATAGTTTTTTTTATCTATTCATCCATTTAGGGCCATTTGGGTTGCTTCTAGATTCTTACTATTGTGACATGTGCTAGCAAAACATGGGAGAGCATACATCCACTTGAGTTGTGTCTCATGTTTTGAGTATATGCCTAATAGAAGTTTTGCTGGATCATATGGGATTTCAATCCCAATTGCTTTAAGTATTGCCATATAATTTTCCATTGTGATTGTATGGATACACCAACAATGTATACAAGTTGCAATCTTTCCACATCCTCTCTGGCATTTGTTGTTTTCTTTTAATTGGGCTAGCCTTATGGATGTAAACTGGTGTCTCATTGGCTAGTTATCATGAAAATTTTTTTCTCATGTGTTTATTAGCTATTTGTACTTCAGGTTTGGTGAACTGTCTGTTCATATCTTTCCCCCACTTCTTAATTGTGTCATTTGACCCGTTGGAGAGCTCTATATATTTTGATAATTAGACCCTTGTCCAATATGTCATTGGTTAAAAAAAAATCCCAATCTGTGGGCTCTCATTTTACTCTCTTGATGAAATCTTTTGATGTGCATAAGTTGTAATTTCAGCCAGTCCCAGTCATCTTTCTTGTTTTCTACTGTGTGTGCCTCGTTCATTATACTTGGTAGTCTATGCATGCCCTGCAATAGCGAATTTGAATTTGTCCTAGCTTTCTCATTGATGATCTTGATATAGTTGAGATTTACCTTTAGATCTTTCATCAATGTTGAGTTCGCTTTTATGCATGAGGAAGGATATGGATTTTGTATCATTCTTCTGCATATGGAAATACAGTTTGTCCAACATCATTTGTTGAAGAGGTTGTCTTTGTCTCATTGGATATTTCTAGGTCCTTTGTACAAGATTAGTTGGCTGTAGGCTGATGCATTTATGGCTGGGTTTTCTGTTCTGATCCATTGGTCTATATAAATCTTGTTGTTCCGATACCAGACTGTTTTGATTATTTCAGCTATGTAGTAGGTTTTTAGGCCTCCTAATTGGGTCTTCCTTCTAAGAAGTTCTTTATCCTGGGTCTTTTGACTAACCATATGAAATTGGTAATTAGTTTTTCCATTTCTTTAAAGAATGTATTTGGGATTTCAATTTGGATTGCACTGTATCTGTAGACTGTATTAGGTAGGAATGACATTTGCACAATATTTGGTATGCCTGTCCATGAGCATGGGATATTCTTCCATTTGCCTTTTTTGTTTACTTTTTATAGTGATGCTATATACTTTTCTCTGTACAGGTCTTTTGCTTCTTTCGTTAGTTTTATTCCAAAGTATTTACTGTTTTGTGTTAATTAATTAATTTTTTTGAGATATTAAAGTCATATTTTATCCTTAGTATATGATTTTAAAAAATCCTTTTATTGGGGGCTCTTACAACTCTTGTTACCAATCACACATCAATTGTGTCCAACATATTTGTGTATATATATATTCCATCGTTCTTTTCCATTGAGCCCTTGGGATCAGCTCCTCTTTTTATCCCTCTCTCCCCCACCAACCCTCATGGCCTCCTGATAGATAATAGATCATTAATTATTTTCAAATCTCACAGCGACCGCTGTCCCCCTTCCCCTCTGGTTTCTGTTGTTCTTTCCCCTGGCTGGGGGTGTGTGGTGATGTGCCTGCCATTCATTGCAATCGGTGCCCCCTCTATCCCCACCTCTCCCCGCTTCCCCCAGCCCTTTTGGTATCTCTGTTCCCATTCCTGTTCTTGGGTTCCATGTGTTGTGAGTTTTATCTCTTGCCTGTACCTATGCACATGCTCCCGTCTAGTCTAGATTGGGAGGTCATGATAGCGAGGGGTCGTGTGTTAATTTAAATGGTATTGTTAGAGAAGATTGGCATGGCCCCTGCGCATGGATGACACGCAAATTCGTGAAGCATTCCATATTTTTTAAAAAATGGTATTGTTTTTGTAATGTTTTTATCATAGCTTTCTTTGCTGATATAAAGGAATCCAAATGATTTATGGTTATTAATTTTGTACTCTGTTCCCTTGTTGAATCCATGGATTGTTTCCAGTAGACTTTTTGCGTTTAATCTGTATAGAATCATATAATTTTCAAATTACAAGAGTTTCATTTCTTCTCTATATGTATTCCCCTGTTTTCTCTTTGTTGTCCAATGCCTGCAGCTAAAACTTCCATGATGTTGACAAAGTGGTAATAGGGAATATCTTTATCTGGTCCCTGTTTTCAGTGAAAATGTTTCTAGCTTTTCCCCATTGAGTGTGATGCTATTTGTTTTCATATATAGCTTTTATTATGTTGAGGAATTGTCTTTCAATTCCTATATTGTTGAGGTTTTGATAACAAATGGGTGTTGAATATTTTCAAATGTCTTTTCTGCTTCTATTGATATGATCATGTGGTTTTTATCCCTTGCCCTTTTTTAAAAGTCATTTTATCGGGTGCTTGTACAGCTCTTATCACAATCTATATATCC